CTCTCAATTGTAGGTACGAGATGTTTGCGCAAACCCTACAGCAACAGCGAGGTTTCGGCAACAATTTCAAGTTCCCTGGAGAGCAGCCGTCAGCTCCGAATCAGCCATCAGGTGTCCCCGTCGGTGGAAACGATGATGATGACCTCTACAGTTGAATTCTTTTGTAATCATTGTCACAATACAGCATATAACTTATTTATTCTTTATTTCTCGCCACTCCTGCAATTACCTACTAAAATACTTCGTATGCCTGTGTCGGCAATTTCTCTCTTCTCTGCTTGATCATTGTTTTCTTAACTTAGATGTCGAGGTATCACCCACGGGCGTTGTAGAGAATTGGTGATGCGAATGGTTGCATGTAATGTATTGAAGTGTGCAGTTTTGTTCAATTAATCAGTAATTTCAACTACTTGGTGTTTGCACATGCGAAAGCTGCGATTTCGATTCGGTGTTATGTGGAGAAGTAAAGGCAGGGCCCGAACTAAACATCCTTGTTGGCATACTCGCCTTAGCACACACATAAAGAAGGTGCCGAAAGGGGAGAATGAAGTGGAAAGGGTTAGTATGAATGCTGATCTGCCCTATAAACAGTGATGAAAAGCTGTTGCGTCCTTCTTAGAGCAATCAAACCATTTTTCTTGTGTGGTTTTACCTTTAGGGAATGTCTGTAGAGCGCTTACTCATGTTTGAAACGTTTGGCTTCGTTCGGTATTACAGTACGAAAGTGGCATTTGGGGGTTGGTGGTTTCGCTGTGGCAATATTTGGCGTGGAATTATTATTCCTAATGAAACGCTAATATCCATGCAAGTGAGCCTAATACAGTTAGATGTACCTCCTCCGTTTAGCCTTACTGCCATGAATGGAATTGTGCTAGGAAATAGGTGGTTCCGTGTTTTCGGGCCTGGGTCCTCTTTGACACTTATGTTGTATTTATATTCTAGAATTCTTCAACGCAGGCTTCATAAACGAGTAAGACTTTTGGTTCTCATAAATAGAAATGGATTGATTCGACGAAGGCCGTATCAGTAGCAGCGTTCCAAATATCTGCGCTAGTGCCTTTAAACTGAGACATGGATGTAGACTGCTTGCATGGGTCAGAAACTAGCAATGTCAGATCTGCTTAGTTCATTACCTTCAAGCACTCATTGTGTCTGCGTCCTAACATTTTGGAGTAGGACTACGAAAAAGACTAAGCGGCATTATTCCTACCGAGTTAACTGCTTTCCGCCTCGTAAGCTCGTCCTTTTGGAGGAGTGGCACTGAACGGAGGCGAACTGCTTACTATTTCTTCAAGGTGAATGGGGGTAACTACTTTCTTCGAAATCCAATGATCAAGTCGAAAATAATAATAGTAAATAGTACTGATTTGATCGACCAATATATTGGATGCATTAATATTTATTTCATAAATATTATTTTTATAAATTTCAGGTATTATATAAGCTTAACTGGAAAGTCTGGCGATCCCTAGTTCATATCAAGCTGAACTCTTGATCAATGGAATCTCCAAAGGCGAATTCGAGGCAAGTTTCAAAGTTTTCTCGCTATCTCTATTGCCGAGTTTCAAAAGTTTTGTTTACGAATTTTTTCACTGCTTCTCATATTAACCTCGGAAATTTTGGAATGTGGCTGTATAGGCGACTTTCTATCACAAGTATCCGAGTTTCGTAGTTCCGATCAGACCTTATGTTAAGACAGGTACCCATGTAATAAGCAAGCCTTCCATCCTTTGAGATACCGTAATTAATACCGCACGTGTGTGGGAGGTTGAGAGCATGCATTTGTATGTCGGCTGACTCTTGAAATCATTGTATAGGCCGCATGTGCCATTGAACGCTTCTACGAGTTTTAATGGACGTCGATGTGTGGGCTCATGTACAAACCGGACTGATCTTTGTCAGTAAACTTCGCCCTCTACATTGGGGGTCTCTGTTTGCGCGACGATTTTTAGATAGTTGTCTTGCTGCATGTTACGGAATGGTCAAGATATCTTTACAAGCTTAACCAAGAGATGCATATATGCGGTGGGTTGGCATGCCACCGGAGACTGGACACTCCTAACCGTCGTCACCGACATACTTCCCATGCATTGGTTTACTGACGTTTAGAGATTTTCCAAACGTGACGAGAAGGGCCTACTGGAAAAGACAAACCGAACAGAAATATTAGTAATACTCAAATAGAAGTAGTTTAGAAGTAAGTCGACACAATCAAAGCTAAGAGCGATAACTGTTGAGTAATATTTGACCTTGAACTTCTTTTTTCTGTTTTATTAAAAAAGGAACATGCTTTTTCCACACCGTGCGTAATCAATTCAATGCGATACTGCGTTTAAAATTTCCTTGACATTACTTTATGATTGATTTCACTATTTTTCTTTTTAAAGGTCAAGTAGTTAGCAGTATTTGTAGGAAAACCGGTTCTGCTTTCAGCGAACGCCATTCATTCAGGAATTGCAAATAGTTTTGAAACGGACCGAAACAGAGACAGTTATGAGTATTTTCTTCTTGTATGACATGGGCGTAGATAGTGCATTGGCAAGTGGTGCACTACATCACACGATGGTCAAAGGTTCAAATCTCGGTTCACTAAGCGCCTAGGCCTTCGGAGTCATTCATCTCTTGGGGTCGTTCAATTGGTATCAGACTGTTTGGGAGGATAGAAGCGCTGATTTGTACATCACCATAAGTCAATGTATAGGCTACATACGCATTCAAAACGCCACTACGATTCTGAATAGAATCCGAATGCGAAGATGTATCCTTCAGACGGGATATGGTAACGTCAAAGGTCCAATCTTCGCCCTTTATTGGATCCTTGTTTTTTTGTCTACTTTTTCATTTTTTTCTGAAGCTTTTTGATGATTTCGACTCAGTACTTACGAGACTGAGGATTTACCCTTTATCAGATCTTTGTTTTTTGTTTATTTTTCGATTTTTTTGTGAAACTTCTTGGTGATTTCGGCTCAGTCACTTATGGAACTTCATTCGATGAAGATTCGAAATATTGCACAATAATCACAAGTTCTGATAAGAACGAAAGGCGCAATTGATAAATTATGATAAATGGAAATGAAAAATGCGTGTCATATCAATATCTATGAAGTGCAACAAATAAAACAATGAATATACATACAAAGAAACAGATGGAATACTATCGCTTTGGCATGTCACTGAGCAGAGGGAGAAGGCTGTATGGGAATCCTCCATTTACACGTCTCTGAAAAGAAAAACTAGTACTGGGAAATTTACTGTCAAGCTTTACCCTGTCACCTGTCACCTAAGAGCGCCCCAGTCTAAGAGAATTCAAGGGTTTCCGGCAGTTCTCCCAGTAACACACCCCTTTACAAAACTCAAGAAACTCTTGAAACACAGTGAGAATACTCATTTAGTCATCCAGCGATTAAGGTTTAGAGGTTGCTTTTCTCGGCACAAATTCAGGCTTCAGAGGTTTTTCGGGAAGAGGTTTTTTGAAAGTGCTACTTTGAGAGGTTCTACTAGCGCCTAGGTTCTAGCAACATAGTACAGGGCCAACTGTTTATTTCTCAAAACTGTCAACTACTTACGAGGTTTCCAGATGATTTTCCATAATAAATCTCAATAAATCCTGATGTTTTTGTCCGTGTTCCGTTGGTGGCGGTGGTATACTTGGAAGTGGTGGGGTGACTTGTAACGGTTGTTGTATTTGTTGTGGCAGTGTCTAAAAATGAAATTGACATTAGCTCCCCATCCTTGGAGTTCCTATGAGGTTGAAAAAAATGATTTAAAAATTGACTTCATCAAGTTCAGGACAGACCGTTGAAGAAGAGTCGTTGAGATCTTCTGGTAAATCAAGACTAATAGCTAACGATGCTGTCGCTGTCTCTTCGTCATTCACAGCAATAGTTGAGATATGTGTTTTCGTCTGAAATATAAGGTAAATAATATATTTGAAGATAATTATTTAGGTGAGTACTGTATTTGTAGAANTGTAACGGTTGTTGTATTTGTTGTGGCAGTGTCTAAAAATGAAACTGACATAGCTCCCCATTTTTCAGTTGATATGAGGTTGAAAAAAATGATTTTAAAATTGACTTCATCAAGTTCAGGACAGACCGTTGAAGAAGAGTCGTTGAGATCTTCTGGTAAATCAAGACTAATAGCTAACGATGCTGTCGCTGTCTCTTCGTCATTCACAGCAATAGTTGAAATATGTGTTTTTGTCTGAAATATACGGTAAATAACAAATTCGAAAATAATTATTTAGGCGAGTACTGTATTTGTAGAAGATCGGGTGGGAATAAGATTTTCACAGGGAAAAATTTGATGAGTCAAAAATAGCATCGCTGGGCGCTAAATCGGGATGTAAAATTGCGGCAAAAACAAATGCGTGGCGCACACGGACTTTATTTGGCTGTTAGAATTCGGTAGTATTGTAGGATTAGGGACTCTGATCTTTACCAGTCAGTAGACAATGCTTTTATTCACCTCATTTTCTGCATGTGATGATGACGATGAGATCCCGGACGTTGAACTACCAAATGATTCTGAAGAGGCGGCCGTGGATGCTTGAGAATGTCGTCTACTATGCTGAAACTATCGTACCTCTTAGCTTTAGAGACTATGGCTTGGAAAAACGTGGCCAGCCTACCTCTCCAAGCCTGGCCGAAATTTTTCGACTGCTTGCTCCAACTGCTGAGCTGACATTCCAGGAGAATCTCTTGAGGATTCCTCCTTGTAACATCGCTCCCTTGGGTTTCAATACGTCGATACCGTCTGCTGTGTGGTACCTATATATGGTGTACTTGTGAAATTGAAACAAACCAACGTCCTATAGACATACCTTTTCTCGAATCGTCGACCACCTTGAGATGGAACAAGCTCGTCTTCCACTATAGTTGAACTACCACTCAGCTCTTCTGCCGGTGTAGTGGCCTCTGATCTGAAGTCATTCTGATGTTTTAGGCTGAATGTTCCAAATGGAATGAGTCCAAGGTACCTCGCTCTGCTAGGAGTTTGCAGGGCTTCATGGGTATCTTGTGGTGGTCTTTTGCTGTTGTCCATAAGTAATGGAGATGCACTTCGTGATCGTTTTCCTTCGGGTTCCGGATCGGATGCATTCGAAATCGATCTCGATAGTCGAGGGCAATCGATGTTGGACGCTAAAAAACGGACCCTCCTTTAGTGAAATCTTAACAGAGCTTATTATTTCATTTACAGCAGAGTAGTATTACTTGATGATGGCTCAGCTGCCAGTGTCATATGAAGGTCGACACTGCTTTTACTGCCACATAAAGGGTAACTGGAAACGCTCAGCTTGTGTAGGGGTGGCATACGAGTACCAGGATCGTTCACGTCGAGATTACGGTCCAGTTGCTCAGTTGACGATAAAGTGGTGGATCGATGCATATCTGAAAAATTGGGATGTAACCAGTAATTATTGTACGACTTTTATACGATAAAGTGGTGGATCGATGCATATCTGAAAAATTGGGATGTAACCAGTAATTATTGTACGACTTTTATGTTGCTGTTGCTTTCTGGCCACATGGAATCCAAAAAGAATTGAAAATTCTCGGTGAAAATCAATCGGCCTACTTCCTTCCCTTACTTCCGTCACTTCCGACCCAATATACTAACCGTAACAACTCTGCGCCTCTATTCACTAGCCAAATAACACCCTTTTCGTTTCGCCTCTGTTCAGCTTATACTGAAACCCTGCCTATAGATTTCGTGCTCTTCGGACCATTGCCATGCCCCATATATAACCAAATTGAGTGTTCGACTCTTGAGCTCGACAGGGGCTTCTTGAGAAAGCTCAAAAATCTACTGGTCGTTTTTTCCCTGAAGTTTTGTTAGAAGTCGGAAAGCTTTTGCAAGATTATTGGTGTCGCCCAAGAGACACCTCTAAGGCCGCGGCAAAATCCATCTTCCACATGCTTCCACAGTAGGACAAATTGCTACCGGGAAAACATGCTAAGATAAATGATCCAAAAGGAAAGCAAGACAAAGAAAAAGCCTGTATTGCTCTGGCAGGCTCCTTGATGTGCAGATTGCAGTGGCGATAGGGAAGTTGAGAATGACAATTTTATAATTTGGTAGTGGGAAATGAGACACCAATTTCTTATACTTTTTATCCATTTGAGGTGGTACTTGAGATTGATCAGTCCTTCGAAGTGCCATCCATCTCTTTTGGGAATCACTATGCCATTTGAGCGCATAACTGGCCCAAGTTATGACTTAAAGTGGAGGGCTAGTGTACGGTCTGGTATTCTACTTCGTGGCACGAGCTTGACAGTTTGACAGAATTAAGCCAATCCTAGGGTAGTGCTGCGATTGGTACTCTGGTTTGCATCTCCTCCCTGATCTGATTCCTCAAGTGGCTTAATTGTCACGGACCGCTATTATCAATTTATCGAGTAACTCTGTAAAGAGCCAAGTTGAAGGCCATTGTTTGGATTACAAGAACTTACGATTTAAATGGGCATGAGCTGCTACTACTTGTGAATCCATACTACTGCTTTTACGATGGACAACTGGTGGCAGACAATGAGGCGGACTTTGCTGCCATAGGGGTCTGTAAATGAAAAGAGATAAGCTCTGTTCAAGAATAATAATGAAATCATCACCCTACAACAATACTGTAAGTAAACTACGGTAGCAACGTCAGCTACGGCGAAAAAGATCTTCGAAACAAACCCTCTTTTCAGGTCATAGATCGGACTCTCGAAGTCATTAGGGCGTCCTTGAAGGCGTTTAAACTCATTGCTGGTGATGTTGATCATCTCCAACCACCTGAAATTTTTTATTTAGTTTTTCTTTCATTTTCATGAAGCCTTTCAGAAAAATAATTTCCCTTCGAGAGGAAAATTGCAATAGTAAACTAAGTTAAAGTAAGAAATGAAATCCTACCGTCGTGTTTCCTTTTCGTCTGTAGTATGCATGAGGTATATACTGCACGGAGCATCAAATTCATTCATACAAATGATGAAGAATCCACCTAGAAATAAAAGAACCAGAAGAATATGTCCCAATTACTTGTTTTTCCTCATTTTTTCTTCATTAGGATTCTTTCAATTCATTTTTCAGGTTTTTTTTCAGGAAATCACTCTTCAAACAATCTGGGTCCATGAATTTCCGGGTCGTACCGAAGAAGTGGCTGACCAAAAGACTTCCTTCGAAGATGAGAGCGGCAACAACTGTTTGGAAATTGTGAAAACAAGGTTCTGGTAAGTTAATATTCGGAAGATTTCATAGAGAATATTCGAAAAGTTGATCAACTTATTTTCGAATAGTATTGGTTAAAACTCGAACTTGGAGTTGATTGTAAAATGGAATCTTCACTGGTACAAAATTAGATAAGTGATCTTATTCAAGCCACTAGTTAACGATTTTTTTACATTATTTTTATATGCACTTTAAGCATGTATTTTTTTGTTTCTGTCTAGCCATACGCAAGGACTGCATTACTGTAATCACTTGCCCTTCTATCCTATCCTATGGCCAACAGTGTAGCTATGGTAGTTAGGAGCCTAATTATATCGCTTCTGGAGGTTTTTTTGCTTGAGATTAACGACAAATGTTGTTTACACAAAAAGCCTGCCAGGTACAGTTCAATCATAGCTGCGGCTCAGTTACAGAGTTAGAGCTATCGTATGAACTTTGTATAGGTGGTCAGCTTCCCGACTCTCTATTCAATATGTTTCAAAAGGAGCTACGTCAACACTAGTCAATGAGTTTTAGGGTAAGGGAAGGCAAGAACTACATCATCCCATAAATTGGACTTAATTCCTTGTGCAACTCGAAAGTGTACTTTATCAGCCCTGGGCTACTGACCGTACGTTCACCCTCGGATGGGACTGTAACCGTCCCTATGCGTCCCTCAACACCATCTTGGGATCTGAGTGGGTTATCCTGTCCGGGAAACATCGATCTGGTTCGGACAACCGTCTTGATCCATCATTTCGCCAATATTTCTATTTTCAAATAGAAGAACTTTTAAGAACTCACTAGCATCATTAAAAGGGTGATATATCATGTGAGCAATATGTATGGGTGGTCGAGCTACTCGAAGGCCTTTATCGGTACGTTTATTAGACGTTCTGCAGAGCAGTAGCATATCCGTAAACAGTAAACAGTGCATTTCCACCTGTAACAACTGAAAATTAGGTAGACAATCGAAAAACATAAGGAAGTCCTGATACCTTCGGTCCTTGTCGACTTTCCCTGATTTTCAGATTTCCACGGTGAATGACCCGTCGGAATTGCGGTGGCCCAGGAAGAAGAGGCATAGGTGCCATTAGATCCAAAGTGGCCCGTCGATTTGGGAACAACTGTAAGGGAGATTTTGGACCTTCCTTCACCCAAAAACGTTCCTGAGAAAGCTGACCTTTTCAAACTCTTCACAGTCGACTGCATCATAGCCGTCGATGCTCTTCATAATTTCGGCCATCTGTAGACGAAGATCGTTGTTATTTAGCTCGAAGTTCAGCTGTTGAGTGGCAGCGTCCGTTCGGTCAATCATATCTGTTGAAAAATGATCAGTAACTTTGAGAAGAGCGCACTCGTCAGAGTTATGAGCCGGAGCTATACCGACATGCAAAAAAAAAAATCAAAAATTGAAGTTGTTAGGAATGAGTATCACCCCAAAAGCGAGCTTTCTCGGAATGACAAGTCTTTATATACCTTAGAAGAATAGAATTCGCCAGTGTAAGCGTGGCTCATCCAGGAGGACGGAATGGTGCGTACCGATCTAAATGCTAGGCCAGCAGCTGTTGAGTGAGAAAGCAGGAGCCCATAGGTCTCAGGTTGTCCTGGTGCTCCTCTACCTATCACAATGGTTTCGCTTTCTTTAGAGACCCCTCAGTAGCCTGTAGGCTTAGGCTTAGGATAGACTGTAGTAGTCTGAACGTTCGTTGGTCTTGTGTTCACAGTTCCAAACACAATGGGCGTGTTTTGTCGAGCACATGGGTGTGGCTTCAGCATGTTAGGCAAGATCGCGTATAGGCGCCCGTGGCCTATCGAAATTCCTAAGGATTTCTTGCTTACAGTTCCCGGACAGAACGAATAGGAAAAGGTCACCGTCGTGCAATTCCTCATACTTGGAATATTATAGAAATTTCGATAAGGTCGAGCCGGTCGGTCGATAGGGAATTGAACATTCTCATTTACCCCCTCGTTTTGAAGGGTTTCCTCCGGAAGAACTCCTACTTGAAAAATGTTGAGCATGGGAATCAGAATGCAATGGACTGTGAGGGGATTTCCTGGTAAATAAAAAGATATGACATACTTTGAATGATCAAACGTTCCCGATCATCAGTCGAATTCGATAGCACAGCCTAAACACGGCATCATAACAATTTATAGGCTCTCATTGATCAGTTTCTCTGATCGAAAACAAAATCGATAACAGCTTACCTTCAAAAGGAGACTGTATCTGGTGAGTCGTTGCATTGGACTTGTTAACGTATCGCAAAGCTTCTGCCGTCGCATAGACTCTTGGGATTCCGCCCACTGAAGGAGAAAAAAGCTGAGGGCTTACTGCATTCGTGGAAGTGCTATGCATGTTTGGAGGTGTGGGATGATTATTCCCTCCTCCACATTCTTTGTTACCCTCCGATACCCTCAGATAATCATAATAAACGAAGTGAACAGGTACCAGACCCAGAAACGAGTCAATCTGTGAAAATGGCCTCACAAACTTCGCGCGCAGCCAATTCAGCTCCACATGGAATTAATCACTTTCCCAAAATTTCCAGATAGAACTATAGAAGTAAAGTCGAAAGTACTTTGGTTTGGTAAATCCCGCTTATGGGATGCGCCCCGCACTCCATTCCTGGTCAGAATGGCAGTGACGTTTAAATCGTGTATGCACTAAACAGTGACTTGCGGTTTGCTTGATGAACTACTTTATGTGCCGTTGGTACTTTTTTCCTCACAGACGAATCTGGTCCCAACTAACTGACTCCAGAGGGATAAGAAGCTTGGTCGACTTAGCGGAATGTACAACCCGGATTCGATCCTGAAGCCCTAGTTGGGAAAGTGGAACACTTGTCACTACACCACCTCCGCCCATGTTGTAAACATTCAAACAATGAAGGTAATGAGCAAAACAACTACAAATGAAGGAATACCCCACCACTACCCTCTTGTTTTTCCCCGTGTCACCTCCTCAACGCGCTTCCTCTACCTGACTGACGACCCGAATTTTTCTTGCATTTATCTCTGCTCCACTTTTTATTCATCTCTACTTCTTTTTTTGAAGACAGGAGATCAAGGAAGGACTGGAAACTTCAGGGAGATGGACAGAGCTTATCGGTTACCCCTTGCCCAAGCTCTTTGTGTCAGCTTCTGTACATACTTATGGTGGGGGTATCCACTGAGATTACGGTAGATGGTGATACCCTTATGCTCTTATATGAAAGCTACTTCTAAAAATCTTACTTGCACGAACTCCCGGAACATTTCATTATCTTTTTGCTTTTTCTGTACGTAGGTGTGGCTGTCGTCATGACCGAGATTAAATGGAATGTAGCACTTCGACCATTCGCTAATGTCTTCGAACCCATTCAATAGCAGAACGGGATCAAGTGGTTTCCGAGTTTGCCTGAAAATTGCCTATTTCGCAATTATAAAGGAAAAGGCCGGATAGGAAAGACTAATCGGTCCAAATGTGACTAAGAGTGGCAAGAAATGGTCATGTATTACTATGAAGTACGTACCTAGAAAAGTCGAGTAATGGTTGTATAGCACGCCTCCAGAAAATCACATTCACCGTGAATAATTCGGAATAGTTAAGGAACACCCGAGCGATACTGATTTCCCTGAATACAGTAATTTGAAGGGAGCATAGGTAAGTGCCTGAATGGGAGGAAATCGACAGGAAATCATTTACTCACTTGAAATACCCCATCTTTTGTAGCTCGAGGAAATAACATGACAGATCGTGCATGTTTTTGAGGACCTGAAAGCCGAGGAATTGTTGAAGCTTTGCTTTCTCAAAGGGGTTCTAGCAAATTACCTGAATATATCGGTACTCGGTAGTAACAATCTCCCATATGGCTTCTTGTTGATCGATATGCCTTCTCGTTAAGGACTGAAATAATCACTGTATCGTTTGGGTATGTATTCTACTGAGGAACAAGCTCCATCGTTGAATTTTCTGAAGCAATACTTTTCTCTACAGGTCGAGATATAGCCCCTTTTTTGTGAAGGGTACCCGAAAATTAGAGTTTGGAGCGAACGGAAGCAATCAGCCTCACTACTTCAATCTTGGTAGAAAAAGTGGTTCTACCCAAGACAGATGATAAATTGGCCGTTGTTCAAAAGTGGCCTGAAAAAAGCTAGCAATTGAGGGACGCTTTTAAGGTCGAAAACAGGGTAATTGTGCTTCAAAAACAGCACGAGAACTCGTCCTCTTGTCAACTCGTCTCATTTCTAACAAACCCTCCTTCCAAGTGCAAGGCGGTATTTTGAAGCAATCAGAACAGGTCTTCATTAAATGACCGAAACTAACGGTGCGATCGTTCTGTTCAGCTGAGAAGTTAGGGTCCCTAGAAGCCTGTCCGAAAACAATGTACCGGCTTTTCGTCAGGCAAGAATTCCTCAGTCGCCAACGCGGTTCCTATGGGTTGATCCCATTGGTTCCCTGGGTTTTGTACGATTAGGGTATGCCTTTNTGGGTTCCACGACACACTCAATGGCTTATAATTGCACCCATAGATTCTCGTCCATAATGTGAATGTTAAAGACACGTTCTTATTGTGGAAATTACAGACTCCTCCTATATATTTGCAGTTTTACGATTGCCATATAAAAACAATTACAAAGTTTTAGAGGCAACAATTGTAAGAAGAGTTGACGGGGTCCTTTCCTGAACCCTGCCAATTCCTCCCAGTATTGTTGACTCCAACAAAACGAATCAATAAACAACAACAGGTAAAAAGGCAGCTTTTTAGACTCAACAATTGCTTTGACTGAATTCTTTTAATCCAAACATCCTTAATTCCCTATGTTCAGTTCCTTTCAGCTACTGGAAGTACGCATTGACTTATTCTAGGCCAACAAACCATATAAACACTATTATGTCAATTAAGGCCAATATTAACTGCAATTATTAATTATTCATAAATAAATTAGCGATGTATCGACGGAAAAGTCGCCGATGAAGTTCTAAAAATGAATCTGAACAAACTAACCCCTCGATCAGCAACAATATCTGTCCAATGATTTTCGATTTCGGGAATAATGTTCGAAATCGGTTCTGTTCGTTCTTTCATTTCGTTTAGCTTGTTGAGCATTTCTTTTTCCTGGAAAAAATCTTCTCTCAGACATTCACATTGATTCACTTGAATAAGAAGCCTTAATGAATACTCTCGTATGGGCAATATAATATAACAAAGGCCTACGTAAAAGTCGGAGACAAAAATGGAGATAAATATCGAGAAGTATTCTTCAAAAATATCACTTATTACAGGGAATTTCCTTTGATATACTGCCAGTAGCCTAGTACTTTCTTTATTTATTTTTTATTCATAAGCATTTGTACACAACACTTTATGCTCATATTTTTGCAAACAAATAAACAAATAGACATTTGACAAAAATTTAATGAGCAAGATGAGATGGAACAGTGGCTTGAGGCACAAGTAGCACAGTAGTCTACAAGTTTGAAACCCACCTGGACAATTCAGGTTCAGATTATCTTACCTTCGCCTAAGACAGATATAGTGCTAAAGAGTAGAGGAAGGACAGGGTGGAATGCGCACGTCTAGCTACCAATAAGCTCTTCTCTGTTCTATAGTCGAAATAGACATTGAAACCTTCTTACAACTTCAGGAATTAGTATTCTGGATGGTTTATCCCAAGAAAGTTAAAAAAGACCCGATTATTATCAATTCAAAAAGAAAACTACAACTGGGCGGCTGCTCACAACTTTCTCATTACAATATGCTGTTGTTTTTGTCTGATTCTAATCAAAAAGGTGTTTTTTTTTCATAATTGGAAGGCGGGGCGGGACACTTCAGCTTAATTAGTAGAAGTAATTGGAATGGTCGAATTCCTTAGCTTAGACCGAATCGTAATTACTGAGTGGTAACAAATGATAATTTTACATGATAAGAAGGGGTTGAGGCGTTTCACTCAGCCCAGGGGAATTTGTGGGGTTCGATATCATTTGGGTTATACAAGGTTTTACGACCTTGTATGTACAACGCTGCGGATCAAATGACATCACAAATTATTAATTATTATCATATTTAATTATACATTTGCAATGTAATTATAGCATTATTTTAAATTGCACATATAAATAAACAAGTAATTAAAATAGTTGTTAGAAAAGCAGGGCGTGGATAACAAGGAAGTAGCAAATAGCAAAGCAATGCCTACTTGTAAACAGATGGTTTACATCACTAACGATAAATATTTGCAAGTAGTTGGAGGGAACGCGGATATTACCGAAAGTCGGAATACGGAAAGCGTAATTTTCTCATTACCCCGTTCAATCTCGTAGAGCTCAGCCCTATAAAGCCAAAGAACAGCGCTCACAAATGGGCTAAGGCTACACTCCCAGAGAGACTCCTATGTGACCAAGTAGAGCGAATCGATGGGTCCTGATGTGCATCCATCTTCCTATTCACTCTAAACAAGATACTCAGTAATCTACTTGATTGAATGAATTGAAAGAAGGGAATTACTATGGTGCCATGGTACCGCTACCCGTGTAGCGTCGTCGTCGTCGTCGTCGAGATTACTCTCTCCATTACCAGTCAGAGGGGATAACTTCTAGTCGGTCAGGTAGATTTGTAGCAGGGCTTGTGATTAATGTGCAAAGGTTCACTGATTACGACTTACGGCTAACTAATAAATAGGACTAGGACAGGTCATAGATTAAGAAGGGTGGTGGAAGAATTCCTTGGCTTTTATACCTACGTTGTTTGGTTCAGTCGGCTCATCGTTCATAACGAAAATTAGACATCGCGTGCTGACTATGAAAGAAGGTTGGAAAGGCAAAAAACAAAAAGCCACCCATCATTACCAAGAAATCATGGATTATAATCATATTTTTGATATTTGACGTCAATTTTGTTTTTTTTTCCCTTAACTCGTGACATACTTAAAATAACGTCAGTGGAATTCCCATTATTCACAGAGTTATTCCGAGCTCTTCTGTCTCGAAATCACAAATCAAAATTTAATCTTAGCCATTAGGAAAAGGATAGGGAGTAAGTAACGAGTAAGGTAGAGCTTATTTACCGAGAAGTTAGGAATTTTTTCTGCTTATTTTTCGAATAAAATTTTTAATTTGGTTAAAAAATTCAAAATCAATAGATATTTAGAAAAACTTTTGAACTGAATCCGGAAAGTAGTCCTGAATTTTAGGAATTTGGGTGAGTTCAACAGCAAAAAAAAACTGCGAAGCCACCGTGATCTCATACTATCAGTACTCCCTTTTAGAAGGACGGCTACCGTTACCCTAAGAAAAACAACAGTAGTATAGACACGTCTCTAGATCAAATCAATTTCTTCAAAATCAAATCAAATCAATCAATCAATTTCTACAAAATTCTCTAGAAAACCTAGAAACTTAGGAACGCTCTTTGAAATGCTTAGATTGAAATTGAGATCAGTAATGGATGACAATGTGTCTCTGGAGTCAGATTTGACTTCAGAGACTTGCCGTGCAGCCATACATCACTAAGATGGAGACAGTTTGAGCCATTGGATAATTTTCTGCCTTTTTTTGTGTTGGATGTGAAATATACCCAGGCATGATTCCCATAGGCGAATTATGGGAATAAAAGAAGAAGTCGCTCAGAAGATTTGGTCTTTCCGAACTATTAGCCAGAGGTTTTTGGGTGCTAGAAGGAGTCCTTGAGGGAGCCCAACTTACATAACCAGGCTGCATCTGCATCCTGAGCTTTTGCTGATGGCTTAAGTTGAGATAAACTTGTGAGATGTAATAAAAGATTCGGCTGAACGTTTCAGGGGTCTCTGGGAAATAGCTGTCCCCCACAGATGTACGGAGTGGGCAAATAATTAGGAAAAGCTTTGAATACTCAGCTCACCTTAGCAAAAAAGAGGCTGATTCGGCTTGACGTGACGGAGCGAGCTCGTCGTGTACCACCGTCGTCGATGGCCAACGAACACGATGGTTCATCCATCATGGAGTCCCTGAGATATATGGGAGTATAGGAGAGTATCTATAACGAAAAACAAATGTTGCTCTAGCAAGGGGACATGGGAATGAAAGAGCGAAAATCGCCACTACCGCTCAAGGCCCAGCGGCGGTAGCCGGTGATTGCACTTGAACGTCATTTTGAGACAAACATTTCTAAATAGGGCAATAAGCGAGCACTAGCAGACAATGCATATTTTTTCAGGCTGAAAGCACCCAAATAGGGCCACATTAAGTTGAAAGTGGGGAGACCACCCTGTAAAGTGCAAAAGGTATATTGTTGCTGCAGCATATGTGGGATGAGCATGTAGCATGGACAGAAACAACATGATAAATAACAGAATAAATCAATATAAAAGTATTCCCCTTACGGGAGCTGCATCGGTGATAAATGAGGCCTTTGGGCAGTTCTGAGGAAGTCAGCCACCATAACATTTACAGCTAGAGCATATGAACGAAACAAGAAGAAGAAGATGAGGGGGATGAGACTCACTTCAATGAACCATCACTTCCTCGGCTATCGACATCGTCGCTTGAATGGATACGATAGTCTTGACGAGTTTTTTGTAACTGAAAATGAAGCGAATAATGTCAGTATATGTCAGATGGTAACTAGTAAAGCGTAAAATCATACCATTCGAGAATGAGCGAATGAACTTTTACGGCTGACAGCATCGGCACTCATCTTGCGACTTGGTCGGTCGCTAGCCGCCTCGTCCATGGACAAAGTCGCTCGTGTATGGCGACCAACTCGCATCGCTGATCGGCCTGAACTCATCCAGTTAGCGGACTCACAAGACCAGGGAATGATTTGTGGCAATAAAATTTCTAATGGAACGTTTTTTTTTTGCAGTGACGAAGAAATGTATGGAATGTCTAGCCATGGGAAATTGACGGCACGCCCATTTAATGTCTCACATTTCGATTCAACAGTCATATGAGGAAAAAAAGTTCAAAATGTTCTTTCACATTCAAAAGCTTATAGGTAAAAAAGAGAATTCTGATGACGATGCACAGTAGATGACGATAAGCAATAGAAGCCCTAAGGCAGGCAGATGTGTAAGGGATCGCATGGAAGACTCCATCAGCGATCTTTCGAAGAAAATTTTTTTTTCAATGGATTTAATTGGGAGGGTGCGGAAGGTCGGGCAGAGGGAGTTCGAGGAATTCACATATGAGCCCTAAATAGGTAGGTGTTCAGGTGAAATGAAGTCAAAAAGGGTTTAAAGAGAAAGGAACCTACTTTTGCGTACTTGACAATTTCAAATTCATGAAAAACACTGTAAGAAAGTAAATATACACTGTACCCAAGTAAGTAAACATTCTCCCACGTGTGACCGAGAAGTAGTAAATTCAGTGGAGCAGCGAAAGGTCCTTAATGGAAAGGGCGATCCCAAGTATCGGTTCTCATAACTACGTCTTCGGGCTTGCCCAACTCGCTTTTTGTACTTTTTTTTGTTTCGTTGAGCTCAGATTTCACCGCCTGTTATTCTGTTATTCCTAATCTATCGTGCTGGGAGAGGGATTAATGAATAAGGAGAGATTGGACTGTGGGAGGAAAATTGGCTCCTTTCTTACTTTTCATATTGAGTTTCAAGCCTTACCAATATCAGTGTGGGTAAACCTGTTTCCCTTCACTTTTACTTGTTTCCATGCGTTCTTATACCATGCCTTTTGAGCACATCAAATTAAAAAAGTTAATATAATCAAGTAAACAAACGAATAAACAAATAATTCAATGAATCGGTGATGCATATTGCTTGGACCTAATCTTTGTCATCACTGAAAGCGCGAAACTTCTTGTCTACAGCTTTCTATCTTTTGTCCGGACTGGGAGTGTAAGAGAAGAGAAAAGTTGCATGGAAGGGGTACGTGGACGAGCTGTCCAAATTTGTGTGCCATTGCTTACAGGCTGGGAACAGTAAGCTAGCTGCCTGCGTGCAAGGTGTGGGTCTCGGCGCGAACGGTGCAACCTCTACAGCCTCTACATTGCCGAGAAAATTCGTCCGCCTCAGGTTTGTACGTCGGCCGAGCCGGTTTTGGGGCCCCTATTACGTCCTATCTTTCAGCCCAACAGTGTCCCTTGTGTTATCCTGGGGGTTATGCCTAATTCCAAGGAGAAATCCCTGGAACCATTTTTATCGTGAGCTGTGCGTTCGAGTTAGGAAAGAAGAGGAATTTCCTTTCCTAACCCTTCTCTTTCACCGAAAATCCTACCAAATCTTCAGAATTGCCAGATTACTGTAACAATTCAAATTTAAACCGGTCAGATGGGCATTAGTCACCGCGCGCGGTGAATCATGCAGTCGCACGCGATGACTTCTTTATCAAGGCTGTCCTTTGGGGATCCTTCCTCAGAGGCCCAGGGAATACCATCAAAAGGGGTGCGTATCTGCTCATTGGGTAGAAAAACTTTGTGTTAATGAACGTAGTGGTATAATGTGATATACTTTTTGTTCTTTGGTTCTTTGCTGATTTGGTCCCTGTTTCCCTACTCCGTCCTCGGACCTCCGAAAGCTTGATGGAAAAGTAAGAAGAGCATAGTTTTGTATGAGTAAGAGCCTTTGGCCGCGACATTTTGTTCGACATTGCTGTTCCATCTCAAAACCTTCTGAGCTTCGGGGATCACAGGGGATGCGGGGATGCGCAGCAGTTAGGGCCGACCCTCGATCATACGGTTAGGATTCAGTTTCAGCCAAACTGGCTTCAAAAGTTATAGATGTTTAGAAGAAAATGAATGCGACTACAGACTACTCCTAGCCTGGTGCGGTACGTGGTGGTACCCTGTTGTTCTCAGCCATAGAATGGTCTGATGCCTATTGAAGCTATATGAGGCTGTATGAGAATCGTTAGAAATCGTTCATAAACGGTCCCATGGGAACTCAAAAAAGCCCATTCACTTACTTAACTCAATTCAATTTAATATTATGTAATTGCAAACCATTATACCAGTAAAAGCTGCAAAAAAAAGTAATAGGAAAGGAGTGTCAATTGGTACAACCTATCAAACTACAACGTCAGCTATTGCCTAGAATCGCCTTGATCGCATTTTACTCGCTCCTGGGCAGCAATCTAACCTAAGCTGGTGGGCAAACTTAGGCCTTTTGTCAAATGAAATAAAATAAAGGATGGCAGATAAATAAACAAATAAATAGTGACATCTATCAATAGTCTAAGAGCAGGTTTACGTGCTAGAATAGATGAAAGTCTGCTCATCTGAATATAAACAATCCTGAGAACACAAGGAATAAACAAGCAAATAAATAAGTCACGCTCTCTTTCAAACTGCTTCAAATAGTTCCCACGTGTGAATACTGTATCAAATGATATCCATTCACATAACAAAGCTTGTCTGGGAATAACTCAGAGAACATATGATGAACAAGTTCAAACTGTGAGAAATTGGGGAAACGGGAAGGAAATGTTCGCATAGAGTAGAACACATCGGAAGTATCAGCAATTTGAACGAGATTTTGCATGATTACCATAAAAACCTCAGAAATATTTAAAAGGATTCAGGGTGAAAGGATTCAGATTCGGAAAAAGTTCGAAAAATTTCGTGTGAGAAGAGTTGGTTTTCGAAAAAACGGCTATTCCGCTAAAACGTTAGCCACGAAGCAGAATTGATACAAAATTTTGGGGGCTTGATTGAAACATCAAAAACGATGACCGTAACCCCGGAATCAATCAATCAATTTGAAGTCGATCAGGACTTCTTGAGAAAAAGCACTTAGAGAGAAGACTTTCCCGGTATTCATCAGCATTGGATTAATGAACACCGGATCTCCTTTCATTTTTTCAATTCAAGAGGGTAGGAGGGACAATGAAAAGGGGATGTCATCAAGTGGGGTCAAAAAAGAGGGCAGCATACCGTTTCCGTGCGAAAAGCCCAGGAAATCAGTTATTTCTCTTTTTAAGTCCGACATTCGTGTGGCTTCGTCAGATTGGCTGATTGATACGTATCCAGCATAAAGCGAACGTTCAGAAAGGTGGGGCACAATGATCATTCATGTTCATGAACATCACAAGTACGTACTTCCGTTTATTTCACAATTGGAATCTTCCGGGCGGTCTCCTGATCGATACTATTCAGAAGGCTTCAACTGTATAATCAGGAAAAAGAGCGATGTGAATGCAAATGCCATAGTAACGTGCTTGAAAAGCCCCTCAATGGTAATTGTTGCATTTCGAGGGTAGTTTCTTCAATATTCCGAAGAAAAGTCAAGGGTTTCTTGAATCCTGGTGTATCAGTTAATGATTTTTTAGGACAAAGGCTCAATACGCCCCAATTTGACCATTCTTTGGCCCCACAGCACATGTTCCACAATATTGTCCTGTATTCTAATCAATTTACATGTGCCTCAAGCTAGAAATTGCGGGTGTCGAATATCCACAATTTTTGAGGCTTACGGTATTTGAACTACAGTAACCCTGTATACTTTACCCATTTCGTCACCGGTGGGCACTAGGAGATGACTTTTTGATAAATTTAGATTTGAAAGCACAATTGTCACCTATGCCCTTAGTGTTGAGCAAGGATTCTTGGAAGCTTAATCCTCGATAAAGTTGATGTTTGTTTGGATGGTGGTTCGGCTGATGGCGCCGCTTATAGAAACTCGTTCAGGACAATCAAACCTTTGTGAGCAAGTTGCTCGATGCCATTCTCAGTTTTAATTACCCGTCAGACCTCAAAACTAATGCATGGACATAATATGTAGTAATAAGCCAAACAATACTCTACCTCCCGCCTCATTATTCATAAGTAATAGCGATGCTGTTTATATTTGGATTTCAGACGTAATCGGCTATTCGCTATCACATCCGCTATTGTACCAGTGGAGGGCGTTTAGTAGAGCGTATAGAAAAAGGAATAAAGGATAGTCTTTCTGGCGTCAAGCGATCTCTTCTAGGGGATTCGCCCCTGCATTTGGCTGCCATTCAGAATCGTAGAGGCGTATTAAATGCCTACGCGGCTTGTACAATGACATGCGGTAGTCAGCTATGTACAAGTTAGTGCTTTTATCTTCCTAGACGAGTCTGGTATCACCTCGCTGACCCCGAAGTAGTGGGAGGCCTGGTTGTCTCGGATATCGATCCACAATTCAATACCCGAACCATGTGTGTGTGTGTGGTAGTGCGCCACCTGCCACTGCATCACGTCCACCCAGAGTGTATAAAATAAATAAGTAAACAAATAATCGGATTGAAATTGGACAAATAAATATTTTCATAAAATGGAAGCGACTTTACTAATATTTAGAAACCGCTACTTCTAAAGAGTGGTTCGCTTCAGGACGATAGCCCGAATAGGCTCGATAAGCTTCCAGGTCTTCGTGAGCACNTGTGTGGTAGTGCGCCACCTGCCACTGCATCACGTCCACCCAGAGTGTATAAAATAAATAAGTAAACAAATAATGGGATTGAAACTGGACAAATAAATTTTTTCATAAAATGGAAGAGACTTTACTAATATCTAGAAACCGCTACTTCTAAAGGGTGGTTCGCTTCAGGACGATAGCCCGAATAGGCTCGATAAGCTTCCAGGTCTTCGTGAGCACAAACTATCAGAATCTCGGGCAAAATGAATATTTTACCATCAAAGTCTACTAGGCTTAAAACTTGAAAATGAAGGAAAAGAGGTTGTTTACAATGAAATAGAGGTAATGACTAGTTAGTGAGTAGATC